TATATATATATATATGTTAATTTTTTGTTATTTCTCAACGAAGATTAGGGTAAACAACCTAACCTAAACGGGTGGAACATGAGGCCACCATTTTCGCTACTTAACTCTCGAAAAATATTTTTATTTATAATAATAATATTATATATATATATATGTTAATATTTTAACTTTAATTTCAATATATATGTATCATAACATATAAGAATAATAATTAATAACAATAACCCCTTGCTTCACGATTTTCCTCTCAGCCTTCGGCGTTACGTCGTGTCAGATGTAAAACACTATGATAAAATATATTTCATAGATTATATTATATATATATCATCGACTTCATATATATGAAATGTGAAGTGTATGTGTATATATATATATATATATATATATATAAATTATATACGTGAATATACATGAAATATATAATGTATATGTGCAATGTATTATGAAGTATAAATATATACACGAATATGAAGTGATTAATTAATTAACAATTTGCATTAATTAACCTTAAGTTCGAAGAGCTGAGTAATTGAAAATTCAAATTCGAAACGTCCCCACAGTGCTGCAATTTTCAGATCGAGGCGATAATTCTTGATATCAGGATAGATAGAGCATTAAAAAAGAGGAAAAGAGAGAGAGAGAAGAACACAAGTGGACAAGGCTGAGAACTCGAGGAGCAGCTAAATAATCGATAACACACGTGATCGATGTGCCCAAAACGAATCAGGCGAGTCACATCCCCGACCTTTCCCCCTTGAATTCGACATAAGCTTCGTGTCGCAAGATTGTGGAAGAGAGAGAGAGAGAAGAGTCGATATCAGAGAAACTGATATTTATCGCTCGTTTAGTAAAACAAAAAAAAAAAAAAGAGAGAGCATCGCGTGGATGTGATTAAGAACTAAATTCATTGACTGGCGAGAAAGACAGATAGAAAGAGAGAGAGAGAGAAAGAGGGAAAGGCAAATGAAGTCGAGGCACCTGTTGCAATACGGATTTTATACAGGTTTCTCGCTTATTAGAAGAATTATTCTCGAATTTCGTTGAAACGAATACTTACGAAGGTCAACTGCTCGTTTCAAGAACAGTTGTTCCATTCAAAAATTATATAAAATTTAACAATGGTCAAAATCAAAAGGACCAGCTTCCTGACATTTTTAACCGTGTATTTTCAGAGATTTCAACGATTCTTGTGTACTTCATTCCATTTAGCAGAGTTTCTTATTTTTTTCTTTTTTTTTTTTACTTTGATACCATATGCTGATGGAAACTTTAATCGCGTTAATAGTTCTAGCGTGAAATCTCGACGACAACCAGCTTGAGATGATGAACACGTACGCGTTGAGAGGGAAGTTACGTCTCATTCGAGGGAATCGGGACTCGGTTGATCCGACGATCATTAGGAATTCGCGGTCGTATCGACGAGATAAGATTACTATATCGTTGGATTCTGCAAACCGCAAATCTCGTCTGTTCAATATTCGATGCGAGATAGGAGATCGCTCGAGAGCAACTCGACGATTCGTAGAATTCATAAAGGGGAGATAAATGTGACGAGACGGCAAAGGTCGAGAGGAAAAGGAAGGAGCATGAAATGAAATAATCGTTGTTTTTTTTTCTTTTTCGAGCTTTCCCATAACATGTTCCGCCTGTCTGTGGTTTATTCTCGCAATTCAAGCTTCGATCCGAGAACGCGGAAAACTCGAGCAGTAGCTAACGTTTAGCGGAGGGAACGTTTCCATTTCTACGAGATGCCGGTGGAAATTAAATCGGCCTCGGGCTTAAAGTGGCAATTCCGAGCGGCGCGTTTCCAGGCCTCGTCCCGTTTCATTTGCAGGATTTACAATCTACTCGTGATCCTTGAAAAAAAATATCCCTGCCAACGTTGCAGCCTTCGGATCGTGAATCGCGAGCAATCGTTTCCATCACGCTTTGCATCTGGCTCGTTGTAAAAAAGAAACGAAGAGAAAGAGAGAGAGAGAGAGAGAGAGAGAGAGAAAATCTAAAAACAAATTCTGACACGACGTTTTCCACGGATAGACGCGAAGAGTTTCATTCTTACGATACGTAGCATGGTCAAACTTTTTGAATAACATTTAGCCTCGAATTTCTAGAATTGGATCCGAACGTGATGATTCTAGATAGGTTAGATATGTGGAAAAGCAATTTTTTTCTTCTTCTTCTCTCTCTCTCTCTCTCTCTCTCTCTCTCTCGTGGCGGAACGACGCGAGTTATTTCCTCGAAACCTAACCTAAACCTAACCTATTTTTTTTCTTTTTACGTGGAGGAAATCTTCGAAAGACACCTAACCTAAACCTCCACGTAAGCTAAACCTAACCTAAACCAACGAGTCGAACATGTCTAACGTTTGGAATTTTCTCTTCGTTCGAACATTTTTGCTCATAATCAACTCTCTCTGCTTCCAGGTTCGGAGTTCATCCGAAGACAAAGTTCAGAACAATGAGAATTGGTCCGAGTCTGTTGACAACAAGCCTGACTCTCCTTTATTTGATCGGCGTGGCAGAGAAAACCGTGCTGGCTATCGAGGAGAGCCCGGCTTCGTCGATGAATCTTCAGCATTACAACACGATGTTGAATTCCATGGGGCTGGACGACCCCCTGCCCGAGAAGAGAGCGTACACCTACGTCTCCGAGTACAAGAGGCTGCCGGTGTACAATTTCGGCATTGGGAAACGTTGGGTCGACGCGAACGACAACAAGGTGAGAACCTAACCTAAACATAACCTAACCTAAAACTAACCTAAATCTAAACCTAACTTAAATCTAACCTAAACCTAACCTAAAACTAACCTAAACCTAAACCTAACTTAAATCTAACCTAAACCTAACCTAAACATAAGTTAAATCTAACCTAAACCTAACCTAAACATAACTTAAATCTAACCTAAACCTAACCTAAACCTAACTTAAATCTAACCTAAACCTAACCTAAACATAACTTAAATCTAACCTAAACCTAACTTAAACCTAACTTAAATCTAACCTGAACCTAACCTTCGGTGGAGAGCAGAATTGTACCGACGACGATGAAAACTTTGCAAATTAATTAATTTAAAGACATAACTTTGCAAATTAATTAATTTGAAGACGTAACTTTATAAATTAAAGACGTAATTTATTAAAGACGTAACTTTGTAAATTGGTTAATTTAAAATTTCGTCGATACTTTAAACTTTAAGACGTTCCTTTGCAAATTCATTGATTTGAAGACGTAACTTTGTAAATTAATTAATTTAAAATTTCGTCGATACTTCAAACTTTAAGACGTTACTTTGCAAATTCATTGATTTGAAGACGTAATTTTGCAAATTAATTAATTTGAAGACGTAACTTTGTAAATTGGTTAATTTAAAATTTCGTCGATACTTCAAATTTTAAGACGTTACTTTGCAAATTCATTGATTTGAAGACGTAACTGTAAGATTAAATAACTTAAAATTAATGTCGATACTTCGAACTTCAAGACGATACTTTAAACTTTGCAAAGGAAGAAGAAGATCCACTTGGTCTCGTTTTAAAGCGCGATAGTTTATTTTAAAAGTAGTCAGATGGTTTATTTTTCTTTTTTTTTCTTTTTTTTTGAAGATGATTTCTATCGTGTGATTTCCTTCTCGAAAATTGTAAAAACTCGCGTAACATCAAAAAAATTTTCTCGTGACTGGATCTATTATAGTTTCTACAACAATTGTAAATTAATATAACTTGCTGTATAATTCGTCCTCTACTATTTTATTGAATTTTATTTCTTTATTTTATTGATTAAGTGATGAAATTTTGAATTTCCTACCGAAATCGAGACCAAAAAAAAGTCGTAAGTTTTTAGAGTTGTTCAATCCACGAAATGAAAATCTTGGAGAGACTGGTAAGAAAATTAAACAAATGGTTTTCTTGTAAAACACGCCATTAAAAAAAAAAAA